ACTGCCCTGCAGTACTGAACTGGTTAACGGCTATATTAGCAAGAGGCGGGAGCTTCTGAGCAGGAAGAGTTCAATAGACTGAGTCAGGCAGCACGGCACTGTGGAAAATGTAGTCCAGAGAAGAGAAACTACTGTAAGCAAAAGCTTTTGAACTGCATTTCCCAGCGATAAATTGCCAGGAGGAGGAAAGAGCTGCATTTTCTCAGGCTGTACAGTGTACAGCTTCCTTTTTTCCATGTGGGAGCCTGGAGAGTGCACATAACTGTTCAATGTGCACCATCACTGAGCAGCCTGAGCGGGATCCCGAGTCCAGATGTACCAACATCCAGAGTCACCTGGGTGCAGAGCAGATAGTGGATATGATGTGTGTGACATGATGGTGAGCTGCAATATTGCTGGGACTGGTGAGCTGCTGCTGAAAGGATTTACTATTTGCTTCTAGAGAGACTGAACCCTTTAGGAACTGACTGTATAGCCATCTAGTAGCCTTATTGATGCCTGCAGGCTTGACTGGGACTATTCTCATGTGCAATAGTGGTACAACTGGGCCCCAATGCTAGCCGACTGAACTTTACAGGTGCTACACAGACCTTCACCTATTGCCTATGCTAAAAGGTACCTCTCAGGGGACATTGCACCGTATCCTAGACATTCTCCTAATGTGCACTCTATACTAGTTATAGTATTTTTATTCACATTGCAGTTAATGCTTACAGTGAAGGAAATAAGTATTTGATCCCCTGCTGATTTTGAATGTTTGCCCACTCACAAAGAAATGATCAGTCTAAAAATTGAATGGTAGGTGTATTGTAACACTGAGAGACAGAATAGCAACAAAAAATTCAAAAGAAATGCTTGTCTAAGAAATTATGCACTGATTTGCATGTTCATGAGGGAAATAAGTATTTGATCCCCTATCATTCAGCAGGATTTCTTTCTACCAGGTCTTTCATACAGGTAACAAGCTGAGATTAGAAGCAGTCTCTTCAAGGGAGTGCCGCTAATCTTGTTTTGCTACCTGTATAAAAGACACCTGTCCACAGGAGCAATCAAATAATCAGATTCCAAACTCTCCACCATGGCAAAGACCAAAGAGCTGTCCAAGGATGTCAGGGACAAGATTGTAGACCTACACAAGGCTGGACTGGGCTACAAAACTATCACCAAGTAGCTTGGTGAGAAGGTGACAACAGCTTGTGCAATCATTTGCAAATGCAAGAAACACAAAACAACTGTCAGTCTCCCTAGGTCTGGTTCACCATTCAAGATCTCACCTCGTGGAGTGTCAATGATCATGAGAACAGTGAGGGACAGGGGCGGACTGACAACTCATGGGGCCCCCGGGCAATAGAGGATCATGGGGCCCCTGTGTCCTCACCCACACTCAAACCAAACCCAAAAAAGCCTATGAAAGGTACTAGGGGCATCTCATGGGGCCCCCTGCTTACCTCGGGCCCTTGGGCACTGCCCGAGTTCCCAAATGGTCAGTCCGCCCCTGGTGAGGAATCATCCCAGAACTACATGTGAGGATCTTGTCAATGATCTCCAGGCAGCTGGGATCACAGTCACCAAGAAAACAATTGGTAACACACTACGCAGACAAGGATTGAAATCCTGCAGTGCCCACAAGGTCCCTCTGCTCAAGAAAGCACATGTCCAGGCCCGTCTGAAGTTTGCCACTGAACATCTGAATGATGCAGAGGAGGACTAGTTGAAAGTGTTGTGGTCAGATGAGACCAAAATCGAGCTCTTTGGCATCAACTCAACTCGCCGTATTTGGAGGAGGAGGAATGCTGCCTGTGACCCCAAGAACACTATCCTCACTGTCAAACATGGTGGTGGAAACATTCTGCTTTGGGGGTGTTTTTTGCTAAGGGGACAGGACAACTGCACCGCATCAAAGGGACAATGGATGGGGCAATGTACCATCAAATCTTGGGTGAGAACCTTCTTCCCTCAGCCAGGGCATTAAAAATGGGTCGTGGATGGGTGTTCCAGCATGACAATGACTCAAAACACATGGCCAAGGCAACAAAGGAGTGGCTCAAGAAGAAACACATTAAGGTTCTGGAGTGGCCTAGCCAGTCCCCAGACCTTAATCCGATTGAAAATCTGTGGAGGGAGTTGAAAGTTCGAGTTGCCAAACATCAGCCACCAAACGTTAATGACTTGGAGATGATCTGCCAAGAGGAGTGGGCCAAAATCCCTCCTGAGATGTGTGCAAACTTGGTGGCCAACTACAGAAAATGTCTGACCTCTGTGATTGCCAACAAGAGATTTGCCAACAAGTACTAAATCATGTTTTGTGAAGGGGATCAAATACTTATTTCCTTCACTGTATATTCATATGCGTATATGCACTAAGTTTTGCTCACTTTGCTGAGTTAATCCCAGTGCTACAGAATTCTATTCTTAGTTCCCTTGGAATAGTGAATTTACTATGGACTGTGTCTGAACCTATATTCTGTGTGTTAATTTATGCTCAAACCAGAATTTGTTCTACCCTTAACAATACATTGTATTAATTTATCACTAAATAATTTTGGATCTATTTCTTGTTACTAATTCACAGTCGAATGAAAGGTATCGATATTCATGTTCTTAAAAGGTTCTTGCAGTACCAAAACAACTTTATTGGCACACAAAAGTGGAATATACATAAATACAGTGAATGGAAACATTAATGAATACAATATGTATGAAGTGGGGCAATATCATGGACCCGTGCAGGGGTGCTTGCAGTAACTTTCATTCTGGTGTATCAGAGGGGCTAAGGTTGTCCTTGGAATTGAGGCACAGAACAGAGAACTCAAATTACCTAGCAGCTCTTCTGGAGTATTGTTTCATCTCTAATGGAACACTGGATGTCAGTTAAAACCTGACATGTTGTCACGCACCTGGTCTGGTGCCGATTTGACAAGAGGGCCTCCCTTGTGGTTAAGTGCCAAACTCCCCTGAAGGGGAGAACATGGAGTGCTAAGCTCAAAGAAGCACAGATACCATTTCGGTAGATCCGCTGGAAGCTGCAGCACAGTCAACCAGATATCTGTCAGCTGGTCTGTCAGGACAGATGGTAGGACCTCTGTTGCTCCTGGAGATGTAGTGGGACCAGGGCAGTGACCACAGGTGAGGTGGCACCCAAGGAAGAAGCAGGTTCAGGATGGCAGGACCGGACTGAAGAAGCATAGTCAGGATGGCAGCTGAAGTCATATACAGGAAGTCAAGTCAAGGAGTAGGCAGGAGAAGAGAATCCTGTGGAGCAAGCAGAAGAGTAGTCAAGAACAAGACAGAGTCATACATGGTAGAACAAGAGAAGCAGAGTCCTTAGAGCAAGTGGGGAGGGGGGAGTCAAAACTAGAGATGAGGCAACAGGGAAGTCCAGAGGCAAGCCAGGTCGGTAACAGGTAGTCCAAGGAACACAAGAAACACAGGAGCAAGGAGTACTAGTAGCTGAAGATCATCCAGCAAAATCTGAGTGCAGCCACTGTCCTTATATAGGGTGTTTAGTGCCAGTTCTAGCAGCAGATGTGCATGAACGCTTGCCTGCACTAACGTGCACAGGCATGCGCATCAGTAAATACGTGTGCGCATTCCTACGCAAGCAAGCATGGCCATGTATAGTATTGGCAATTATGCCAGGTCTTTTCCTCAGCACACGCACATCTTTATTCTGCTGTCTCCTTTTTAGCACATTGGTTCTAACCCTTCTCAACTTTAAGAAAATCAAAAACAGTCTTGGGTATAGACACTTTAAAAACTGGCCAAATACCTCTCTCCTTCCCATTTTCAAAAATTTAGAAGGCACCTGTGTGCCCTGGGAGGTACCTGGGAGATCAATGACCCCTTACTCTTTATTGTTTCTGCAGCATTCAGTTGAACACAGATTCAATTTGGGTGCAGGAGAATACAATTGCCATAGTGTGTTACATTCCCTTAAAAATCTAAATCTTCCATCACATACATACATGGAGGTTTTCTTGGCATGAAGTAAAACTTCATTCATAGCTAACAAATAATTGATATTTTCTATTTCGAAGAGTCTGAGTACTTATTATGCTAAGTTCCAGCATCGTACTGTTAAGATGAAGAACTGGTCCTTGTATGAAGTGTTGGTATTAACAACTCCCTGGCGCCCAATTTGGATGACAATGATACAGTTTACTAATAAACTGATTTATTCCTTGCCTGATCTCTTTCTTGCTGTATCTCAAAGCTCCCGTTTCCAAAATGCAGACTTTCTTTTATTAAAGAGGAATAACAAAGCAACATTACAAGTGTTATTAAGTTTAAGCAGGAATTGATATTGCTCCTCTCTTATTTGTCATTACTTTCATTTCGTTCCCCCATCCACTGTGTGTTTTATTGAATTTTGAGTGGTCGGAAGCATGTAGACGCGGTGAGTAATATGTGTTTTTTTTAATGCAAACCATCACTTATGATAATTTGTCTCGCTCACAGTATGAGCGTCCTCCCTCTTTTTGATTTGATGCCATCGTACTTCTCTGTATTTTGTTTGCATTGACTTTGTATTGTTGATAGAGATGGAGAAGGCTGCCAGATATCTCTGTAATTGAGTTAGGATGATGAAGAAGTTCAGTTTAGCACAATAAATAGAGCTCTGAAAGTGTTTCCTGAAACTCTGTGGATTAGCCCAAGACTGCTGAAAATAATGGCTGGGGCAGCTGGGATTTGCCAAGCACATGTTGCATTAACTGAAAAATAGGAGCTGTGGCAGCTAGGATTTGACTTCAAGCATTTTAAAAGTTTATCTAGAGGCCTAAAGAAGAGCTAGGTTTTAAAAGGAAACTAGTAAAAGTGTACTTGTTTCTTAACTACTTGCCTACTGGCCAATTTTCAGCTTTCAGCGCTGTCACACTTTGAATGACAATTGCACGGTCATGCAACACTGTACCCATATGAAAGTTTTATCATTTTTTTCACACAGATAGAGCTTTATTTTGGTGATATTTAATCACCACATTTTATTTTATTTTTTTGCACTTTAAACAAAAAGAGAAAATTTAGAGAAAAAAGGTTTTCTTTGTTTCTGTTCTAACATTTTGCAAACAGGTAATTTTTCTCCACTGATGTGCGTTGATGAAGCTGCACTGATAGGCAGCACTGATGGGCACTGATAGGTGGCACTGATAGGTAGCACTGATGTGCATTGATAGGCTGCATTAATAAGGCTGACTGATGAGGCGGCACTAGTGGACATTGATGAGAGGGTACTGATGCTGCTGCATTGATATGCGGCACTGATGGGTACTGATAGGCAACAATGATGGGCAATAATAGGTAGCACTGAAGGGCACTGACTGGCAGCATTGACTGACGACACTGACTGGCAGCACTAATAGGCAGTACTGACTTGCACAGATTGGCAGCACTGCTGGGCCGAACTGTTGGGCAGCACTGTTGGGCACTGATGGGTACTTTTGGGGCTGCACTGATAATCAGTGCCAATTATCAGTGCAGATTTCTCCTTTGACAGTTGCCGGTTATCGGCAATACTTTCCTCACGCTGTGACAGCATAAGGACAGTACTGCCAATAACCGGTAAGTGTATTTACATGATGATCAGCTGTGATTGGACACAGCTGATCACGTGGTAAAAGGCAGCTGTGATTGGCCTTTTACTATGTCATGTGATCAGCTGTGTCCAAAGGATCACAGACAGTGCCGGGTGTACGCCGCTGAGGGCGTGTGGGGGGCACGTTCTGGGAGGAGTTCATATGACGCCCTCCCAGAACTGGTCAACCACCCTGTAGTCGTCATTCGGCTATAACACGGTAAGAAAGTGGTTAAACAGGGTGACATTTGGAAGCTCTCCTGATACATTGGATAACATCTGCCTGGTATTATGATAATATTATTATGATTAGCAGTATGGAATATATAACATTATATAACTCAGTGTGGAAAAAATGCCCTTTCATTGGTAGCTACTGGGAAGAAAGTCCCCCTTACAGTAATGGCCAGAATGTCACTCTTACAGACAGTTGTAAAGATCATTGGGTTCATGCAGCTAGCTCTGCAAAGTAGAGTTGACTCAAGAAGTATGCATGCACCATCAAATGGGAGTTGAAGAAACCACAGCTCAATGAACCCCAAGCAACCTTTGGAACCCTGGTCTACAATATGTCAGAGTAATCTCTGCCATGTTGTAACAGGGGTTACTTGTACTGCTGAGCGTTAACCCTTTGAGATCCATGACATCAGTAAAAATTTACTTCAGGGTGGTAGAAGACTATGATTCTGAACTCTGGATGCTCCATAAACTTGTTTAAAGTAGCTAAATGAATCAAGACTTGGATTCCCAAGACACCTCCATACTATTTGTTCTACTCTTCTTCACGCATAGGATCACCTCACAGGAGATTTTTTCTTCATGTAGTGCTACTCTCAAGGAAGCTGCTGAATTGTTTTGTGATTTCTGTGCACGCCTGAGGATGACACACCTTGCTCACCCAACACTTACCGACACACCTTTAGGTATTTCAAATAATTTATTAGGCCAAGCATAGTCTAAAAGAAGAGAGAATTAGCAAGTGTACTTTTGCAATCAAGAAGACAATAACATTACTCTGACAGATATGGTTAAACACCTGCAGTATTTTACCAACAATAATTAACAGACTTGAACAGCATTTTCCTGGCAAAAGTATACTGTATGAAGACAATATTAACAGTCTTTGTCACACGGAATGAAGAGAAGTGTCAGTGAATGAAGACAAAACCCGTTGGCTGGCAAAGTTGGGGCCCTTGAAGAAAGCACAACAGTTACCACTAAACAACAGATTAACTTCTAGCCCCCTGATCCTAAACTGGGCCAGCTATGTAAGTTTAGTTTTTGACTGGGATGTAGCCAGCTCAGAGTGATTTCATAGTTTGTATCAGGCTTTCCCCTAAGTTCGGCTGAGTTATGAATGTGCATATTTTCTTCAGCCAGCCCAGTAGGAGGTTCTTTGCCACTAGTGCATGATTGGTAAGGATATATATTTGCGATAGGCCATGGGGTTTTCTTTCTTGTCTCAGGCTGAGGCCTGAGGAGGTGCTGCTGGAGAGATCTCTGTGATAAGGCCCAGAAGCCTATTTGGGGCCTATCTATGCTGAGGTGGTCCTGAGGCCCAGAAGCCTATGTGTGGAGGAAGCCGAGCCTAGGAAAAAGATCCGGGGAGCCCCTAGCTGAAAGAAGATCCAGGGGAGGCCCTTGCTGGAGCCTTGGAGAGCACTGAAATCTGAAGAAATGAGGCTGGCTTAAAGGTAGCTGGTCTCTCAGAAGGGCCTGGTGATTCGCTTGGAGGATGCACTGAAATCTGAAGAAAAATGTGCTTATAGTGTTGGCTTAAAGGTAGGCTGGTCTCTCAAAAAGGCCTGGTGATTCGCTTGGAGGACGCACTGAAATCTGAAGAAACAAGCTTATAGTATTGGCTTAAAGGTTCTGTAACTGTTATGCTGGATTTTATTCTGGATCTGAAGAGTCTGTAATTGATCTGCTGTGGTATCTGGGGACCTCTAACGTTCACTCTGCCTCTTCTTCAGTTTGATGTTAAAGTTTTGAGAAAGACAAAAAGTGACTGGTGCCCAATTTTCTGTTCAAGATCCCCCATTATAGCCATAGATTCAGCCCTGGGGTAAATGCTGGCTCACCCTCTGCCTCTGGAGGTGTTATCCTGCCTTTAGGGTACCTGGGGGGGGGGGTGTAGTGCCCCGATCGTTGGTGTCAGTGGGGGAATAGTGCCCCATCGTTGTTGTGTCAGTGGGCGGGATATAGTGCCCCATAGTTGGTGTCAGTGGGCGGGAATAGTGCCCCATCGTTGGGTCGAGTGGTGGAAATAGTTAGTGCCCCATCGTTTGGTGTCAGTGGGGGGCGGGGGAATAGTGCCCCATCGTTGGTGTCAGTGGGGGGAATAGTGCCCCTATCTGTTGGTGTCGTCGTGGGGGGAATAGTGCCCCATCGTGTTGTTGTCAGTGGGGGAATAGTTGCCCCATCGTTGGTTGTCAGTGGGGGGAATAGTGCACCATCGTTGGTGTCAGTGGGGGCGAATAGTGCCCCATTGATGGTTGTCAGTGGAAGGAGTAGTGCCCCATCACTGATGTCAGTGGATGAATAGTGCCCCCAATCGTTGGTGATCAGTGGGAGGAATAGTGCCCCATCGTTGGTGTCTCTGTAGTGGGGGGAATAGTGCCCCATCGTTGGTGTCAGTGGGGGAATAGTGGCCCCATCGTTGGTGTCAGTGGGGGGAATAGTGTCCCCATCGTTGGTGTCAGTGGGGGGAATACGTGCCCCATCCAGTTGGTGTCAGTGGGGGGAAATAGTGCCCCATCGTTTGGTGTCAGTGGGCCGGGAAATAGTGCCCCATCGTTGGTGTCAGTGGGGGGAATAGTGCCCCATACGTTGGTGTCAGTGGGGGGAAATAGTGCCCCATCGTTTGGTGTCAGTGGGGGGGAATAGTGCCCCCATCGTTTGTTGGTGTCAGTGGGGGGAATAGTGCCCCATCGCTTGGTGTCAGTGGGGGGAATAGTGTGCACCCCATCGTTGTGTCAGTAGGGGGGAAATAGTGCCCATCGTTGGTGTCATTGGAGAGGAATGTTGCCCCATCATTGTTGGTGTCATTGGGGGGAATAGTGCCCCAATCGTTGGTGTCAGTGGGAGGAAATAGTGCCACATTGTTAGGTGTCAGTGGGGGAATAGTGCCCCACATCATTGGTGTCAGTGGGGGAAGTAGTGCCCCATCATTGGTTGTCAGTGGGAGGAATAGTGCCCCATCATTGGTGTCAGTGGGGGGAATAGTGCCCCATCATTGGTGTCAGTGGGAGGAATAGTGCCCCATCATTGGTGTCAGTGGGAGGAATAGTGCCCCAATCATTGGTGTCAGTGAGAGTATTGTGCACATTGTTGGTATGCAGTGGGGAATAATAGTGTCCCATCATTGGTGTCAGTGGGAGGAATAGTGCCCCATCATTGGTGGTCAGTTTGGGAGGAATAGTGCCCCATCATTGGTGTCAGTGGGAAGGAATAGTGCCCCATCATTGGTGTCAGTGGGAGGAAATATGTTGCACCCCATTCATTGGTGTCAGTTGTGGAATATGCCCCATCATTGGTGTCAGTGGGGGAAAGTGCCCCATCATTGGTGTCAGTGGGTGGGAATAGTGCCTCCATCATTGGTTGTCCCAGTGGGGTAATAGTGCCTCAAGAAACCCATCATTGGGTTCAGTGGGGGAATAGGTGCCCCATCATTGGTGTCAGTGGGGGAATAGTGCCCCATCATATGGTGTCAGTGGGGGGCAATATGCCCCCATCATTGGGTGTCAGTGGGGGGTATAGCTCCCCCCATCATTGGTGTCAGTGGAGGAATAGTGCCCCCATCATTGTGTCAGTGGGAGGAATAGTGCCCCATCATTGATGTCCAGTGTGGTGAGGGGGAAATAGTGCCCCATCTTTTGGGTCAGGGGAGGAATAGTGCCCCATCATTGGTGACGATGTCGGGGGAAATAGTGCCCCATCATTGGTGTCATGGGGAATAAAGTGCCCCATCATTGGTGTCCGTGGGGGAATAGTGCCCCATCATTGGTGTCAGTGGGGGGAAATAGTGCCCCATCATTGGTGTAAGAGGAGAATAGTGCCACCATCATTGGTGTCAGTGTGCAGAATAGTTCCCCATTCATTGATGTCAGTGTTGTGGAGGGGGAAAATAGAGCCCCATACTTTGGGAGTCAGGGGGGGGGAAAATGTGCCCCATCTTTGGGTTGTCGGTGGGGGGAAAAAGTGCCCCATCTTTGGGGTCAGGGGGGGGAAATCCCCCATGGGGGGGGTGCGGGGGGGGGAAAAAGTCCCCCCTTCTTTTGGTGCCCCCCCCAAAGGGGGGGAATATTGCCCCTTCGTTTTTTTCCCTTTGGGAGGAATATCCCCCATCTTTGGGTTTTGGTCTTTGGGGGGGAAAAATAGTCCCCCATCATTGGTGTCAGTGGGGGGAAATTCCCCCATCTTTGGTGCAGGGGGAGGTTTTAGTGCCCCATCATTGGTGTCAGGGGGAGGAATAGTGCCCCAACCCATTGGGGGCAGGGGGGGGTTTAGGCCCCACCCTTGGGTGTCAGTGGGGGGAAAAAAGTCCCCCATAAATTGGGGGTCAGGGGGGGGAAATGGCCCCCATCTTTGGGTGTCAGGGGGGAGGAATAGTGCCCCCTTTTTTTGGGTGTCAGGGGGGGAAAATAGTCCCCCCACCCTTGGTGTCGGGGGGGGAATGGGTCCCCCAAACATTGGTGTCGGGGGGGGAAATATTTCCCATAAATTGGTGCCCTTTGGGGGGAATAGTCCCCCATATTGGTGTCAGGGGGGGGAAAAAAGTCCCCCATCTTGGTGTCAGGGGGGGGGGAAAAGGGGCCCCATCTTTGGGTGTCAGTGGGGGGAAATTAGTCCCCTTTTTCTTTGGGGTTTTCATTGGGGGGAAATAGTCCCCAACCCCTTTGTTTGTCAGTTTTGGTGGAGGGGGAAATGTGCCCCATCTTTGGGGTCAGGGGGGGAAAATTTTTGCCCCTTCTTTGGGTTTTGGTCAGTGGGGGGAATAGGGGCCCCACTTTGGGTGTCAGGGGGGGGAAATTATGCCCCATCATTGGTGTCAGTGGGGGGGAAAAGGCCCCCCCTTTGGGTTGTCAGGGGGGGAATAATGCCCCATCTTGGTGTCAGGGGGAGGAATAGTCCCCCAAAAATTTTGGTGTCAGTGGGAGGTGAATAGTGCCCAGCATGATGTCATGTGGTGGAGGGGGAAATAGTGCCCATCTTTGGGTACAGGGGGGGAATAGTGCCCCATCGATGTGTCGGTGGGGGAATAGTGCCCCCAATCTTGGTGGTCATTGGGGGAGAATATGCCCCATCGTTGGTGTCAGTGGGGAATAGTGCCCCCTTCGTTGGTGTCATTGGGAGGAATCGTGCCCCTTCGTTGGGTCAGTCGGGAATATGCCCACTCGTTGGTGTCAGTGGGGGAAAAGTGCCCCATCATTGGTGTCAGTGGGGGAATTGTGCCCCATCATTGGTGTCAGTTGGTGAGGAATAGTGCCCCCATCATGTGGTATCGAGTCGCGGCAACAGAATAGTGCCCCCATCTATTGGTACAGTGGGGAGGAATAGTGACCCATCCCTATTTTCATTCAGATATGCCTCATCAGTAGAGGATCATGAGCGAATCATGCCCATCATTGCGTGGCAGTGGGAGGATAAGTGCACCCCATCATTGAATAACAGTGGGATGAAAGTAAACCATACCTGAATTGAAATCAGTCGGGGGAATAGTGAAGTTTCATTGTGTCATTTTTATGGTGGGTGCTTGAATATCCCCATCATTGGTGTCATACGCGAGATTATACTGCAAACCCTCATTTTAACTGGTAAATCAGTAGGGGGTCGACGCTTATAGCCCAATCATCTCAGATAGCACATCAAATACTGTACTAATCATTATATTTGTCCTGGTCTATTGTTGTCTACTGAGATCAGGATAAAACGTGCCCCATGATTGCCTGCTAAAGCGGAAACTGGAGGCAAAAAAGTTCTCTCCAACTTCTATTCCTCCAGTATAGGGGTATAGTACCTTCAATCCCCTTGGTGTACAGTCGGTGAACTCGTGCACTCCGACACAGCAGGTGCCATGGTGAATAGTGCCATACTCATTCTTTCCCTGGAAAACATTGCGCGAAAGCTAAGATACAGTGCTAGCCGATCGTTACTCGAGCGACATCGAACCTAGAGAGGATCAGTGCCAAGCTACAGATCAGCCTGTCATTTAGAATAAATAATACCCCATTTTATGAATTGGTAACAGAACTTCCTCTGCGAGCAATAAGAAGCCCCACTCATTGACCATCAGTATCAAAACTAGTGCCCCATTTTTGAGTAAAGTCGAGAATGGGGGGAATGTGAGCATAAACTTTATTGGGTACAACTAAAAGACTAGTACAGAATAATAGGTAGTCAGAGGGGACAACTACAACATACACTATCCAAAATGGTCTAAAGTTAATTAGAGTAACAATACACTACACCATGTTCGCTAACCTTTCTATTTCCAGCGAAAAGTGCCTTATTCAGTAACTCATATTGCGTGGTGACCCCCAAACCATAAAAATTATTTCGTTAGCCGTACACTCAAACTGATGTAATGTAGTGGAACTAGCGCGCCCCATCACTCGGATGTCCAGTGGAGGGAATTAGAGTGCACCATCATTGGGGGTCAGTGTGGGTAATATGCCCCATCATCTGCTTGTGGCAGTGGAGGATCATAGTGCCCCCCATCATTGGGGGAATCTGTCAGTGGGTCAGGAATAGTGCCCCATCATTGGTGTCAGTGGAGAATATTGTCCCCATCATATGGTGAAGTCAGTGGGAGGATATGCCCTATCATTGGGAAATGGAAATAGTGCCCCATTCGTTTTAGTGTCAGGGGGAGGAATAGTGACCCCATCATTGCAGTCAGTGGAGGAATAGTGAGACCCATCATTGGTGTCAGAGGTGAGGAATAGTGGCCCCATTCAGTGGCAAGTCATGGGAAGAATAGTGCCCCATCAATTGTGTCAGTGGGTGGAATATGCCCCATCATCTGCGGCGTACAGTGGGGGAATAGTGCCCCATCATGGTGTCAGTGGGAGGAATAGTGCCCCCATCATTGAGTATCAGGGGAGGAAAATATGCCCTCAGTCATTGTGTCAGTGGGAGAATAGTGCCCCATCATTGATATCAGTGGAAATATGCCCCTATCAGGGTGGGAAAATAGTGCCCCATCATTGGGGTCCAGTGGGGAATAGTTGCCCCATCGTTGGTGTCATGGGGGGAATAGGTGCCCCATCGTTGGTGTCATGGGGGGAATAGTGCCCCATCGTTGGTGTCAGTGGGAGGAATAGTGCCCCATCGTTGGGTGTCATGGGATGAATAGTGCCCATCGTTGGTGTCATGGAGGAATAGTGCCCCATCGTTGGTGGTCAGTGGGGGAATAGTGCCCCATCGTTGGTGTCAGGGGGGAAATAGTGCCCCATCGTTGGTGTCCAGGTGGAGGAAAGAGTGCCCCATCATTTGGTGTCAAAGGAGGAATAGTGCCCCAATCGTTGGTGTCATTGGGGGGAATAGTGCCCCATCATTGGTGTCATGGGAGAATAGTTGCCCCATCGTTTGGTGTCAGTGGGGGAATATAGTGCCCCATCATTGGTGTCAGTGGGGGAATAGTGCCCCATCATTGTGTCAGTGGGGGAATAGTGCCCCATCATTGGGTGTCAGTGGAGGAATAGTGCCCCATCGTTGGTGTCAGTGGGAGGAATAGTGCCCCATCATTGGGTGTCCCAGGGAGGAATAGTGCCCCATCGTTGGTGTCAGTGGGGGAATAGTGCCCCATCGTTGGTGTCAGTGGGAGGAATAAGTGCCCCATCGTTGGTGTCATTGGTGGGGGGAATAGTGCCCCATCGTTGGTGTCATTGGGAGAATAGTGCCCCATCGTTGGTGTCATTTCGGGGGAATAGTGCCCCATCATTGGTGTCAGTTGGGAGGAATAGTGCCCCATCGTTTGGTGTCAGTGGGGGGAATAGTGCCCCATCATTGGTGTCAGTGGGAAAGAATAGTGCCCCATCATTGGTGTCAGTGGGAGGGAATAGTGCCCCCATCATTGGTGTCAGTGGAGGAATAGTGCCCCCATCATTGGTGTCAGTGGGAGGAATAGTGCCCGCATCATTGGTGTCAGTGGGAGGGAATTAGTGCCCCATCATTGGTGTCAGTGGGAGGAATAGTGCCCCATCATTGGTGTCAGTCATGGGAGAATAGTGCCCCATCATTGGTGTCAGTGGGAAGGAATAGTGCCCCATCATTGGTGTCAGTGGGAGGAATAGTGCCCCATCATTGGTGTCAGTGGGGGAATAGTGCCCCATCATTGGTGTCAGTGGGGAGGAATAGTGCCCCATGTCTCTCATTGGTGTCGAGTGGGGGGAATAGTGCCCCATCATTGGTGTCAGTGGGAGGATAGTGCCCCATCATTGGTGTCAATTGGGGGAATAGTGCCCCCATCAATTGGTGTCAGAGGGGGAGAATAAGTGCCCCCATCATTGGTGTCAGTGGGGAATAGTGCCCATCATTGGTGTCAGTGGGGGGAATAGGCCCCATCATGTGGTGTCAGTGGGGGGGGCGAAACAGTGCCCCATCATTGTGTCTCAGTGGGGAATAGTGGCCCCATCTCATTGGTGTCAGTGGGTGGAATATGTGCCCCATCATTGTGTCAGTGGGGGGAATAGTGCCCCATCATTGGTGTCAGTGGGGGAATAGTGCCCCATCATTGGTGTCAGTGGGGGGAATAGTGCCCCATCCATTGGTGTCAGTGGGGGGAATAAGTGCCCCATCATTGGTGTCAGTGGGGGGAAATAGTGCCCCATCATTGGTGTCAGTAGGGGGAAATAGTGCCCCATCATGTGGAGTGTCAGTGGGGGGAATAGTGCCCCATCATTGGTGTCAGTGGGGAGGATTAGTGCCCCATCATTGGGATGTCAGTGGGAGGAATAGTGGGCCCCATCATTGATGTCAGTGTGGTGGAGGGGGAAAATAGTGCCCCTATCTTTGGGGTCAAGGGGGAGGAATAGTGCCCCATCATTGGTGTCAGTCGGGGAATAGTGCCCCATCATTGTGTCAGTGGGGAATAGTGACCCATACCATTGGTGTCAGTGGGGGGAATAGGCCCCACATTGGTGTCAGTGGGGGGAATAGTGCCCCCATCATTGGGTGTCAGTTGGGAGGAATCGTGCCCCATCATTGGGTGTCAGTGGGAGGAATAGTGCTCCCATCATTGATGTCAGTGTGGTGGAGGGGGAAATAGTGCCCCTCATCTTTGGTGTCAGGGGGGGAATAGTGCCCCATCGGTGAGTGTGTCGGTGGGGGGAGGAATAGTGCCCCATTCTTGGTGTCAGTGGGGGGAGGAAATAGTGCCCCATCGTTGGTGTCAGTGGGGGGGAGGAATAGTGCCCCATCGTTGGTGTCAGTGGGGGGGAGGAATAGTGCCCCATCGTTGGTTGGTGGGGAGGGAATAGTGCAGTTTGGTGTCAGTGAAGAAATAGTGCCCCATTGTTGGTATTAGTCACACAAATGATGGGGCACTATTCCTCCCACTGACACCAATGATACTTACCTTGCTGACCCCTGCTCCAGCCTGGGCTCGCTCTCTCACTTACCTGTCAGCTGTCTTCCTTCTCTGGCCGCTCTCCTCTTCACTTACTCTGGCAGTTCCTCGATCTTCTTAGATCTACGCGCGCTGCCGCTCGGCTCCTCCTCTCCAAGCTCCACCTCCTCGCCGGTGATTGGCCGCCTGTGTGCCTCTCCTGAGCTACAGTTTCCGGTGGCCAATCAGCGGCGAGGAGGCGGAGTTGTTGAGGGATCCCGGAGGTGTGGCCAGGTGACAGGCAGCGTGTCATCCCGCCCACACATCGACTGAGTCAGAGGAGCGGTGTCTCGGTTCCTAAGACCATCGGAAATATGTATTTTCCGATGGTCTTAGGCGACCCCTGGGAAATGGTCGTTTCGACCCCCCCAAAGGGGTCGCGACCCCCAGGTTGAGAACCACTGCTCTAACCAGATCCAGGGCACACTCTTCATTTAAATTAGCCACATCCTTGTCACTTCCTCTGAGCTAAAAAGACAGCAAAAACATATTTCTTGTGTAATCTGCTAATTACCTCAAGCCACCATTTTAATGGGGATAAACAAAGAAAGACTATGTTTGAAGTCCAGTCTGGGTGACACCACAGATCCCTACCATGGATACTGAAGTGAAGTGAATATAGCCATGAAAGGACAGAATGTATATTATTTTGCAGGATTGCCATGAATAGAAAATAGCCTAAAGAAAGAAAACACATGCAGCCACATCATCTACAGACCAGTTAGTGACAATATATTATATTTTATTTTTGGTTTACATACGCTTTACTTATGTAGCACCCTCCTAGTTTAGGCTGCACCAGTAGCTGCCTTTGCACTAATCTTAGGAACGAACTGGTTAAATTACAACGGCTCCTTCGGGGTAGCGCTACACTTACTAGTTTGAGGATTGAGCTGTCTCTGTCCTTAGATTTAAATAAAATATTATAAAAGTGTTGAAACTTATCAGAACTTAATAAATTAAAGCATGGAAGCATGGTCGCAGCAGGAGGTAGTTTTCAACACATGTCTAAAATAATATCCATTCGTTCCAGAGAACAATCCAGCTGCTCATTGTCAGCCTTCTTTAGGTCACAATGGCAGCAAGCCTAGATTGACAGGCTACCGCATATGTCTAATATTTCTGTGCAGTAAATGGTATTTCTATATAAATCCTAAATGATATTTGGAGCTCTTTCAAATAAAGAAGTTTTGTTTTATGTTTAGTGAAAAATGTTATCAAAGAATTAATGACATTAATGAAAAGCTTTATATGGTTTTGAAGTGAAAGGACTCTGAAATCCCAGAATATAACTAATTCCTTCAAATGCTTGTCTTGCAGTGGAAGATAAACGAATTTTCCGTTCAGTACTTGACACCTTGGAAACGTTTGTGTCTGTGTCCACCCCAGTCTTTGACACATAAGTGCTAAAGCTAGAGAATAGCGGAAATTGGGAACAGATCTGTTTTTTTAAAGGGTCAGTTCACCTTTTCTGACTTTTGCCAAAAACATCCCCAAGCATGACAATGTCTTTATTACACTATTATGCTGTGTTCTGTATTTAAAAAAATGTTAACTTTTTTAACTGCTCATATAATTGCCCTCCCCACTCTATACTTTACATAGCTGCATGTACCGAGCACACTGGATGTGCATCCCTGGGGCACTCACTTGGGAATGCGCAGCTCACCCTTTCCTGCAGCTCAGTGTTCTTGAGTTTCTGGGGTTGTGCATTCAACACTTGATACATTCTGCAGGACGGTGAGTGGTAGGCAATGAAAACGTAAGCATTCCTATAAAAAAAAAAATCTAGCACATCATATAATAATATATGGAGAATTTTTGGAAATGTTTTTGGCAAAAGTCAGTAACGCGCAGCTTACCCCAGCTTGACTTCTGTATTCAAAGTTCAAAGGCTGGAGATTGGTGCTCTGGATGGGATGTTCAACTCCCAAAGCAATTAGCATATATAGCCAGCCACTTGGAATACTCTTCACAATAAATTTTTATTGTCTATATGTAAAATGACACAATGTACAAGATGCTAACGCGTTTCACTATCTCACTCTCCCTCATAGCATTAGAGGAAGGCTGCATTAGCTGAAACACATTAGTATCTTGTACACTGTGTCATTTTACATTTAGCCAATAAAGATTTACTGCGAGGAGTACTCCGAGTGGCTGGCTATATATGCTATGGACTAAAAGGCGGTAAAGGTGAACTAACCCTTTAAGCTCAATATTGTCAGGGAGTGAGGAGCCAGACACACAAGGAGGTGCAATTAAAGGTAGGTTTATTAATATAAAAATAAGACAAGAGTTTATGCAAGTCCAACAGCGGAAATCGTAGCCAAAGCCGGGGTCAAGAGCCAGGAAGAATCGTCGCCAGAGCCGGGATCAGGAGCCAGGAAGAATCGTCGCCAGAGCCCGGATCAGGAGCCAGGAAGAATGGTCGCCAGAGCCGGGGTCAGGAGCCAGGAAGAATGGTTG